CTACAGATGAGAATCCATCTTTTATTAACACTTGATCAAATTTCTCATGCCACTATTTAGGAGCTTGTTTTAGGCCATAAAGAGATTTAATTAGTTTACAAACCTTATTTTCTTATCCAGATACAATACATCCCCCAGGTTGAAACATATAAATTTCTTCCTCTAAATCACCATTTAGAAAGGCTGTTTTGACATCCGTTTGATAAATAACAAGTTTATGGATAGAGGCTAAAGCAAATAAAACTCGAATAGACGCAATTCTTGTTACTGGTACAAATGTATCAAAATAGTCAATATTTTGTTTTTGAGAAAATCTTTTTTCTACTAAACGAGTTTTGTACATTTCTATAGAGCCATCAGAGTTATATTTTCTTTTAAAAATCCAATTGCAACCAATAGATTTTTCACCAGGAGGTAAATCTACCAAAATCCAAGTTTTATTTGACAAGATAGAATCGATTTCAGATTTAATTGTTTCTTTCCAAAACTTACAATCAGGGGAACAAAAAGCATCGGAGTATGTTAAAGAATCATTATCAACAAGAAAAGTTTGAAAATCATTTCCATAAGAAAATTCTTTTCTTGGCTTTTTACTCCTTCTTAATTCCCCATTCGGAATTATTTCTCTATTTATTTCAACAGGTGCATGAGAAATATTACTAGACGGTGGAAAAATGTGTTCAAAAAATTCAGCATTCTTTGTCTCAATAATTGTATTATAATCGAGCACATCACTTCTTAAAACAAGAAATCTATATGCAGCACTATGTTCAGCATATCCAATAAACATACAATCAGAAGTTTTAGAACCTAATTTTCTTTTCTTAGATTCAGGCAACAATACTTTAGCAAGACACCCCCATACTTTTAAATATTTCAAATTAGGCTTATAATTTTTCCATTACTCATAAGAGGTTTTGCCAGTTTTCTTATGAGGTATCCTATTTTGTAAGTGACATGCAGATAAAATAGCTTCTCCACATAAATTATTAGGAACATGAGAACTAACTAATATAGAATTCATCATTTCTTTTAATGTTCTATTTTTCCTTTCAGCTACTCCATTAGATTCTGGCGAATAAGGAGGTATTGTTTCGTGTATTATGCCTTCATGTTCACAAAATTTATCTGAAGCTAAATATTTGCCTCCTCTATCAGACCTAATTCTTTTTATCTTCTTATTAAGTTAATTTTCTACCTCAGACTTATAAGATAAAAAGACATTATGAGTATCATCTTTATTTTTAAGTAAGTAAAGTTTAGTATATTTAGAATAATCATCTATAAAAGTAACATAATATTTTTTCCCACCTCTAGTCATAGTTTGTTTTAAGTCACCTAAATCTATATGAATTAAATCTAATAGTTCAGTTTCTCTTTGAACAGTTAAACAAGTCTTTTTTGTCATTTTATTTTCTGCACATATTTCACATTTATCCATTTTATCATTAATACCAAAAATTAGACCACAAGATTGCATTTTCTTTATATAACTAATATTAACATGTCCTAATCTTGCATGCCATAAAGAAATCGAGTCAACAATATAAGCAGAAGAAGAAGCATTCTCATTTATCACATTGAAAATATTAAGTACAAAAAGTCCCTGATTACAGTAGCTCTTACCCACAAATACATTATTTTTTGTCATTATAATCTTTCCAGATTCGAATGACACTTTCACTCCAACTTTTCCTAGCAATGCTACGGAAACCAGATTTGCCCGAATGTTGGGCACATGCAGCACATCATTGAGAGCCAAAGTTTTTCCTGAAGTGAGTTTCAAGAATACTTTGCCCTTACCCAAAACATTAGCTGTTCGTAAGTCACCAATGTAGACCACTTCTTCATCATCCCCTATAGGAGTATAGAAGGAAAATGCTTCTCGATTTGCACATATGTACCGAGTAGTCCCAGAGTCTACCACCCACTCTTTGACATTGGTTGCAATGTTCACTTGAGAGATGACAGCAGCAATTATATCATCTCCTTCAGTTAAGTGCACCTTAGGAGGATTACCATTTGCTCTGTCACCTTTATTAAGTCTACATTGTAATGCATGATGTCCTGATTTTCCACAATAAAAGCAATTGCCTTTCCTTTTCTTAAAGTTGGGATTGTTAGGCTTGAAATTAAAATTTTTGGGCTTGTAATTCTGGGATTTATTGGCGTACCTTTTATTATTGCTTTGTACCAGATTGGCTTTGAAAGCCATCTCCTTTGTCTTGGTAGCTCTTGACTCCCTTTTGTTTGAATCCTCAATGAGGATGTGCTTCACGAGTTCATCCATGATATAATTTTTCTCTTTGTGTTTCAAGTTGTTTTTATAGTCAGCCCATGACTCAGGTAGCTTTTCAATCAGCATACCTGCAGCGAATTTCTCAGGAAGATTGATGTCTTTATTTTTCAAGTCCTCTAGCAGCATTTGATATTCGGTGATTTGAATTTTCATCTCTTTGTCATCAGTCATTTGCCATTGGTTGTATTTTCCTACGACGAATTTTTGTTTGGTTGCATCTTTGGCAGTAAACTTTGTTACCAAGGCTTCCCAAATAGCCTTGGCTTCTTTGCTGCTTATTGGCCGATTGCCATGCTTCTTGAGTCTTGGCATCCGCAGTTGCAGAAGGTTGAGATTCAGTGAGCGCATAAGCTACTCCATGGATATCAAGTAGAGAGTGCACACGTTCTTGCCATCTTTTAAAATTTTCATTGGCGAAAATTTAAATTTTGGATATATCCGGAAAGGACTTGGCGAATGGTAGTGCCACTGCAACAGTTGCTGATGAAGGCTGTGGGGTGCTAACATTGTCAGATGCCATAGTTTCTTAGATTGTAGGAAAAAGCGGCTCGAACAATGTCAACACGTGGATACTTGAGTCGTGCTAGAAAGCAGTGTCCTAAGAAACTATTTCGGGGTATTGAAATCTTTCCCCAAAATTAAACAAGTCTTCCTCTACTTTGTGAGAGGGACGTAGAACCAGCCAAAAAACTTGTTTCTAACCCAGCAGAAAAGTAAGAACATTGTGAAGGATAAACAAAGGAGAAGGTAAATAGAGTTTTGAAGTGTAGACTTCGTTTTTTCAGTGCAAAATGAGCCTAGCAACTGGTTCTATTTATAAGCTTCACGGGACGGAAGAAGATAGAATTTTGAAAGCTAATTTTCTGTGAGAATAGGCTTGCTTCCCTTGCCAGACTTATCTTCTGAAGTAGTTAGAGGTCTATCCTCTGTGGTGATAAGTTTGGAAAAGGTCAAGTCATTTGAAAAAAAGGCCATCCGAAGCCTAACTTCCTATCTGGCACTTGAACTTGCCTTTTAGTCAAAGCCTTATCTTTGAAAATTTCTCCATCAAAATAGAAACAATCATTTCTGATGAAGTATTATCAGATAAAGCTCTAGTCCGAAACAAACGAAAAAAAATCTTTTGAAATATCAAGTTTTTTACAACAAAAGATTGGTGGTATCTTTGAAGATGTGGAGGATATCATTATCTCAATGGGTGGAAGCAAAAAAGGGAGACATATAAAGCTGAAAGTGGTGATTAATACATCCCTTCCACTGTTAAGAGGAACGGTGGTGCAATGAGGTGGTCAAAGCATCTGGGTGGAATTCAGGTACGAAAAATGCCCGGATTTCTGCTATGGATGCGGATTAATTGGGCACAGTGACAAATCTTGCAAGCACAAATCAGAGACAATCAGGGGCAATTCCAAACCTCAATTTGGACCTTGGATGAGAGCTCAAGCCAAGGGAGCATCCCCAAAAAAGGGAATAGAGTACCGGTTAGATATCCCTAGAGATCCAAAAGAATCGATGAATGCGGTTGCACAAAAATTGCTGTTCGAAGGAGAATACATAGTTCACCAGTCAAGGGGGTTGGGTTCCAGTAGAACTAACATTGATGGACTGAAGATTGTCAGGAAAGAGAGGGAAGATGACACAGTCTTGTCAGGCAAAGGGCGGGCTCAAAAAATCCAAGATCAAAATTCAAAATTGGGCGGGGCAGAAAAGAAAGTAAGTAAGCCCACCTCTGAAAACACAACAGAATAGGAAGGAGGCAAGTGGGTTCCAGGGGAAGTCAAAAGTAATATAAGCCCAGGCCCAATTTGTAGCCTGACTCCAAAATGTCCCCAATATAAGCAAGATTTCAAATAGGGCCTGGAGGATCAGATGGACATTTTAGTTGAAACCAACGAGGAAGGAGGAAATAACACCTCTCTCGAACATTCTGTCGAAGATCAATCAGCTGCAAACCAAGGGGTAAGCAGCCTAATACTAGCAGGTAGAGAGATGGGAAATAAAGGTAAGAAGCAATTTAAGGTAGCCAGGAAAGATGGTAAAGGGCAATAAGGTTAGCTGGGTAGGTTCCCACTATCAGATATGGACATGAACATTGAAACTACAACTGTAGCTGCAAAGAGGAGATTACCAGAGGAGGAGGAAGAAGCCAAACATATGCAAATTGATGGGGGCTTGGCAAAAAGAGTTAAACGGAAGCAAGATTGCAAATGGGTACCAAATTCTAAGGTCATGGAGGCCAGCCTTAATTGGTCTCCCAAGTCCACATGATAGTTGCGGCGTGGAATTGTCGAGGGGCAGGGAGCTCCTTGACTGTTCCCTGTCTTAAGGAGGTAATCCACCTTCACTCCCCTAACATTATTTTTTTTATGTGAAACAAAAAATCAAAAAAAGTTTTTGAACGGGTTTAAAAGGAAAATAGGGTATGAGGAAATGGTTTTAGTAGAACCTGTTGGTAAAGCTGGTGGGCTTGCTGTTTTTTGGAAAAATACCACAAACGTTTTGAATGTTTTATTTACCCCTTTTACCATAGAACTTCTGTTGAATGATGACAATGAATCTGGTAACTGGTGGTGCATTTTTGTTTATGCTAGTACTAACGATAAAATTCGAAAAAAGCAATGGGATTGTTTGTGTAGTAGGAACACTTTCTGGGGTAAAAACAAAATTTTAATTGGTGATTTTAATGACATAATTTCCAATGATGAAAAATGGGGGGGGCAGAACACGACCAAATTGGACTTTCACTGATTTTAAAGACTTCATTAACAAAAATGAGCTCCTGGATGTTGGTTTTGAGGGTCTCTCATGGACTTGGAGTAAGCTTTGGGAGGGGGAGGGTGAAATTAAACAGAGATTGGACAGAGCTCTTGCAAGTGTTGATTGGTGTGAGGTATTCAAAGATGCAAGAGTGACTCATATTGAGGTTGAAGCCTCTGATCACAATATCATTCTTTTGGAGACAGAGCCTAGAATTAGGAAGCCAAAAAGAAGATTTCACTTTGATCCCAGATGGCTACAATATAGGGAAGTAGAAGGCCTAATCCAAGAGGCGTGGGGTAAAAATCAAGTGGGGTCCAGGGGTGTGAGAATCAGTAGGAAGATCAAGCAGTGTAGAATGTCTCTCTCGGCTTGGAGCAGAACATTGAAGTTAAACAGCAGGATAGAAATTAAAAGGATCAAAGAAGAGATTCAAGATTCGAGGACCAGAAATGGAAGTGATAATAAAGAAACCATAAGGATGCTTAGGAAACAACTTTTTGATGCCTATAAGCAAGAGGAACTTTATTGGAACCAGAGGGCAAGAATCAAATGGCTTCAAAATGGGGACAAGAACACAACTTATTTTCATGCTGTGGTGAAGGGCAGAAGGAAAAGGAACAGAATTTCCAAACTGGAGAAGGAGCAGGGAGGATGGTGTGCAACTGAGGAGGATATTGGGGAGGAAATTGCTCACTTTTACAGCTAGCTGTTCACATCCTCGAAGCCATCAGAATTTGATGAGATATTAAATGGTATTCCTAAGACTATCACGGAGCAGATGAACCTACAACTTACCAGACCTGTCACTGAGAAGGAAATCAGGATTGCTGTGTTTTCCATGCACCCTAACAAATCCCCTGGCCCAGACGGTATGTCCCCAATTTTCTTACAAAGATTTTGGGATATTATCAAAGTAGATGTAGTGGATGCTATTCGAAGCTTTTTTCACACTGGTTTCATCCCGAAAGCCATCAATGAGACCTTGGTCACCCTTATTCCTAAAATATTCAACCCCCTCAACCTGGTTCACTTTAGGCCAATTAGTCTGTGCAATGTTTTTTACAAAATCATCTCTAAGGTTTTGGTTAACAGACTCAAACCTTTTCTTAACTCTTGCATTAGTTACTCCCAGGCTGCATTTGTCCCAAATAGGCAAATTCTGGACAATGTCATAGTAGCTCACGAATACATGCATTGGCTGAAGTCAAAAAGAGAGGGGAAGGAGGGGTACATGACCATTAAGCTTGATCTATCCAAAGCCTATGATAGAGTCGAATGGAATTTCCTTTATGCCATACTTTGTAAAATGGGGTTCGCCTCTCTATGGATTAGATGGATGCATGGGTGTCTGTCCTCAGTGTCTTACTTCTTCAATATTAATGGTGTTAAGCGAGGGTATGTTAGTCCTACGAGAGGGATTAGGCAGGGAGATCCCCTTTCCCCGTATCTTTTTTTGTTTTGTGCTGAAGGGCTTTCTAACCTCCTTAATAAAGCTATCAGTAATAAACAAATCACAAGAGTCAAGATTGCAAGACAAGGACCCAAAGTTTCCCACCTATTTTTTGCAAAGCTAATGGTGATGAAACATGACATATAAAAGCAATATTGGAGTGTTATGGGAAAGCATCGGGGCAACAAGTCAACATCAACAAGTCTGCAATCTTCCTCAGCAAAAGTACATGCAGTAGAGAGAAGGAGGAGGTACTACAAAGGCTAGGAGGAATCCAATAGGTTACACAAGGGAAGTATCTGGGTTTAGCTTTAGTTGTTGGAAGGTCTAAAAATAGTGTGTTCAGGTTTATTAAAGAAAATATGATGACTAAAATCCAAAGTTGGAAAGGGAAACTTTTGAATAATGCTGGGAAAGAGGTTTTGCTAAAATCAATGGCTACTGCTCTCCCATCCTATGCCATGTCTGTGGTCAGATTATCCAAAAACTTGTGCAAAGAGCTAAGTGGGTTAATGGCCAGATTTTGGTGGGGAAATGATCAAGGGGAAAAAAGAATGCATTGGAAGAAATGGACTGACATAGCTGAGAGGAAAGTGAATGGTGGACTTGGGTTTAGGGACTTACTATGCTTCAATGAAGCTTTGCTAGCCAAACAAGTTTGGCGAATCCTCACTTGTCCCAGCTTGTTAGTTAGCAAAGTTATGAAAAGTAGGTACTTCCCTAACTCTAATATCTTTGAATCCAAGGTAAAGGCTGGGGCATCTTGGATTTGGCAAAGTTTGCATAGTTCATTAGAGATGCTGGATAGTGGGATGTGGAAGCAAGTTGGGGATGGATCCACGGTGGAAATCTGGAAAGATAGATGGGTAGAGTGTTCAAAAAGTGGAAGAGTCTCCTCTCCTAAACCAAATGGTTACCAATTGACCAAAGTTAGCAATTTGATTAAAGGGAGGCAATGGAACAAGGACATCATTCAAGGACTGTTCGCAAAGGAGGAGGCAGAGGCAATCATGTCAATTCCACTCAGTGTATTCCAAATGAAGGACAGGTTCAAATGGAAATATACAGCAAATGGCTGTTATTATACTAAATCTGGATACGCTAGGGCCAAAGAGCGAATCAAAGAGATCAGTGAGAAGAATAAGGCACAAGTTAACTCCATCACAAACAAAGAAAGATCCAAGGTCTGGAACCAGCTTTGGGGACTGAACATCAAACACAAAATTAAGCACTTTTTGTGGAAATGCCTCCATTGCATCCTTCCAACTAATGAGGAAATTTTTAGAAGGACGAGCAAGGGTGATCCGCTTTGTAAATGCTGTGGGGAAGAACAAGAAACTACTGAACATGCATTACTTCTCTGCAAAGCTAGAGAGATGGCTTGGGCAACATTCCCTATTTCATGGGACGGTATTAAAGACTATAGATGGAACTTTTGGAAATGGTGGGAATATATGCAGGAGGCCAGATCAAGGGAAGATGGAACTAAACACATTGAAATCACAGCAAACTTTCTCTGGCAAATCTGGAAGGCAAGAAATGAGGGAAACTTTCACCAGGCATGGACAGAGGGGCACCGATAGCCAAAAAAGCAATGGATGAACGGTTAGAATATGAGGAAGAAGGTAGCAATGCTGAGAGGGACAAGGAAGTTAGTTCCCAACCAGATGACAGGCAGGGCATGTTAACTGGTCTGGTGGAACAGCATAGCTCCATTATGTACACGGATGCTGGAATGAATCAGGCCAGAAAGAAAGCTGGAGTGGGGATCATAGCTAAAGATAACAATGGCAGGATCCTGGAAACTTGGTCCATTCCGTATTCAGGAGCTAGAGATGCGGCAGAATTGGAGGCTATTGCTATTAGAACAGCTTTGAGCAAGGTCATAGAGGAAAACATGACATCCTTATTGATTCTCTCTGACTGCAAAGCTGTTGTGGACAAAATAAATGTAGGATGTCAAGGTCTAAACTCTCTGAACATGCTAATTGAAGACATAAGGCAATTGAGTCGCTCATTCTGAAAATGCTCCTTTTTTCACATTAGGAGAGAAATGAACCTGTGTAGTCACAAGTTAGCTAAGTTAGCAGTTAACTTGGTACAAGAAACTAGGTGGAAGCAATCCTTCCCTGTGTGGCTTAACAAAGAAGCCCACAATGATTTCCTGGCAGTTGCCAGTCTTTTGAAAATCTGCTGTGCAGACTAATTTGTAACCCTTTACCCATATATTGAAGTTGATATTTGACAAAAAAAAAAAAAAAAGAAGACCACAAGACAACAGCTCCGGCGCACAGTCCGTGCAAAGCTACATTGACTTCAGCGTTTGTCTTCGTATCATTCATATACTTTGTCCGAACAGCTTTACCACTGAATTGATTCAAACCACTCTTATCATTCTTTAGAATTTTCGTACTTACATGTTCATTTATGGCATTGCTTTTCTGTTATGACACTGGTGCCTCATTTAAGGAATTATGTTCAAAAGCTACCGCAAGTCCTTCAAGTTCCCCATTCCCTAAAACCAATTCAGGGTTGGCGCATAAATTGATGTTTCAACAAACCCTGATGCCTACTTATAATAATTGCACTTCAACCATATCGACCCAGTGTAGCACACATTTTCAGAGACTTGGTACAAGCTAAATCTCCTGAATATCCTGTGGCAAATTACTTGAACTTTTTCAAGCCTAAACATAATGCAAGTTCACAGAAAAATCAACACAACCCAGTCGAAAATAATTTCTAAGTTCCTATCACAAATATCTAGTAATAATCTTCACAAGTTACTTCACTACATACCCCAAATAAATCAGCTTCTTTGCAACTATAAGCCCGTGTGGTCCACGAGCATTTTTTGAAGAAATTCTGGTTATATAGGAGGAATATTAAAAACAACTACAAGCTAATAACAGCAATCTCCAAAATAGTCTAAAGTTCATTGTATAGCATTGGTTTGGAGCATCCACCATCAGTCTATAAACTCTGAAGTCTATTACATGACGAAAAGTTCATGATAATTTGACTCTACCAGCCAATTAGGAGACATAAACCGTGCCCGGGCAAGATGGTATTCTTTCCCAGCAATCACAACACCAGTAGACGTCCAATTGATATCCTCCCACTCTAGATTGTCTGCCAATACCTGTTAAATAATTTCATGAACACAACAGAAGTTCAGAAAAATGGACCTTCTGTAACAGAGACATTGTGCTAGTTTTTCCTAGACAACACTACCAGGTTAAGAGTCCCAAGTCATTTCATTTTGTTTACACATTCATGTACAATTGTTTGTTACTCTCTTTCATTGGTTTGTCCATTAAACTTGCAAGGGATACCATTTACAAGTTTTTCGAAAAAACTAAAAGCTTAATAATTTTAGAAAACGACAACAATCCTTAGAAACCAAAACTTGTGATTACAGAAATTGCATTATGCTTTTAGTCGTGAACTCTTCATGTCAAACTAAATATTCACAGATTAACTAATAATACAAGGAAAGAGAAGACAAGAACCCCAAAAGGTGGCTGATCTACTTTCAGTGTATCCTAAAAAAGGTCAATCTCATAATGGATGCAGCAGAACGACCCTACAAAGATGTATTAACATCTCAATACCTCCACATGTTCAAGGGGCAGTGGGATCCCAATTGATATCATCTTTGTTTCGTGAAGGATATTCTTACAACGAGACCATCGAAATGCATCTATAACAACACTTTCACCATCCACCAAACCTTTTTCATCATTTGAAGCATGCAAGTCATGGGTCAAAGATTTTTCAGTTTCTGCTCCATGGGCCTGAGACACTGAGGTAGCCTTGAACATCTTCTCTCCAGCAAAGCAAAGCTCAAACCTATATTTACACAAGTTAAAGAGTAAATGAACAGCAAGCTGCCAGGGAGGAAATAGCAATTATCAGGTTGCATCTTGAAAGAAGAAAGAAGAAAGAAGACAATCCCATGCATCAAGATAAATAAAAATGCTAACAGCTTGCTTTTATGTAAAATAAAAGGAAAAGAAAAAGATTTAAACATTCTTTTCCCCTCTCAACGCCTCTAGCCAACAAACAAATAACTCAGAAAATTTTGATCCAGGCTAATCAGAAAATGCTAAAACAAAACTCATCATAACAAAAAATGATGTGTATAGCTCGATTATCGTTGTCCTTAAAAAACCAAAAAAAAAAGAAAAGGCCCCCAGTAGAAACTTTACTTTCCTATTTGTCAAAACGGATACTGAAAAATAATTTCACCAAGA